AAGGGAACTTGAAAAAAAAAGAAAATAAGCCGAACCAGAGATAGGACGCGAACCACGGAGCTCCGATATCACGCCCGACCGACATCCCTCCTGAGCTATTATAAACATAAACACTCACGCCTGTCACCCAGAGGGGTAGGCAGAGACTACAGACTTCCATTTGGCACGATCCTGACACACCTCTCTTGCCTCCTTCACATCCATACACCTACGCATACATGCTCGTCGGTTAAGGGTACTCCTAATTTGGCCCGTTTTCAATAAATCGCCAATTTGGTCGATAAATTTTCGCCTAGGACGTCCCTTTCCGACTCTGCCATTTACGATCGTTAGTAATCTGTCAAAATTTACCTTCTTATATTGTAGCAGTTTTTTTATTGCCTGAACACACGGACGAAAAGACATTTTCTAAAAATAAATCCTAGCTAGATCTATTTATTGCCCCCGAAACTCTCTGGACACTAAATTTTATGAAAATCGTTGGAGCCGTATCCGAGATTCCGATTACATATATTGAAATAATACTAGTTTTTACGGAATTTATCGCCTATATTTTACTTTTTAGATACCCAACGTTTCGAGAGCTTTACAGCACCCATGGTCACGGGAAGGACTGAAATGTTCAACGTACAGATGTCATAGTTAACCGCGGTTATTATAGATTAAAATTTAACTTTTGTTCAGTTGTATGCTTGGGTTGGGATTTAATTTAATTTGTTATAGGATCCCAAGCAGATGGTAGCACCCAGCCATCTTCTCTATTGAAATTAGGATGTTTTTTGATTTCAATAGCTTCGCGAATCATCCTTGGAAGGAATTGGTGTTCTTTAGCGAGGATTTGTGGTCTATCAAATCTGATGTAGTGACGGGGGGCGATCCTGTACGTGTTCACAGACTGCAGACTTCCCGGAGCGTCGATTCTTCACATCAGCTATATGTGTGTTAAAGTTTTTTTTTGTGAAAAAGTAAGCTTAATTCAGCTTGCTCGATAGAAAATTTTAAGTTTTTTTTTACAATTAAAAAAATTATTACAGTATACAATCATTTTAAAATTAATATGGAAACATCAATTTGTATTAAAAAACCTTCTTTTTTTTTCAAAATATCATTCTGCATGGATTTCATGATTATAAAGATCGAAGATATATCAAAATTATATCGAAAAACGATTATGTTGAAATAACATTTTCGTAGCAATTACATTTAAATTGCTTTTCGTTCTACCCAAATTTTATCGCAAGGATAAGGCAAGTTTTCACTATTCTACTGAAGTGACGAACGAATTTACAGTTTGCAAAAAGAAGGCTGCAAATGTGTAGTTATTTCTGAGGATTATGACACAATCTCAGTAAGACGGAACGCAGCAGTTTAAACACTGCCATTTAGAGGCCGAATTAGATAAGAGTGTGGTAATGAATTGATGGTAGTGACGTGCTTTGAAATGCACGCAAACGTCCAGAAAAATCACCGTTGGTAAGCAATTCCACAAAGAATTCGTGCGAGAAAGAAAACGCCTAGTAAATTGCAAAATGTGTACCGCCGAGTATTCAGATTCATGTAAGTTAGTGGAATTTGGTGGCTGTAATTAAAATAAGAGTACTCCTCGTGGTTAATGCGATAGAAAATTCAAAAATAACGATCTCTACGGATGCTCTAGACGTTAAATTGATCCTTTAAGACATTAATATGAACATAAGAAACAAGGATTGTCGTCGCTGTCTACGTGTAATAAAGATTTAAAAGTATGTGGCAGAATATAATATAACAGGCACAATGTGACAGCTTTGACCACCACATAGCTGAGTTTTTGTTTTTATGCTTAGATTGTGGTTGTGATTCGTGGTTGGGTTGCCCGCTGTGCGTTTTGGAGCAGAATTCGCAATCGCAGAACCTGATATACTGATCACCAAATTTTAATTTGTCTTTCTTGTAACGAACACTGATTTTTTTTTAAAACTAAGTTAAAAATTAAACCAAATGTTGATTGATCTTAAGAAGTAAAAATTATGTGATTTTTAAGAAGTCTGAAGTTTAGTTAACATTTTTTAGTTTGAGAAAGAGAAGATATTTTTTTGAGTTTACTTAATAAATGTCATTAATAATAAAAATGTGTTTTATTTAAAAAAAAACCGTTATCTTTCATTATTTTATCATAACAAATCTAAAGGACGGTTCAAAAGAGGGTGCTGCGTCCAATGTAAGACAGACAATATAAGACAAGTTTTTTTTATGTCTCAACTGTTTTAAGGATTACCATACAATTTAAAATATCTAATTTTTATGTTTAACTTGTTTTTAAAGAAATATTTACCATTTGAAAATTTGTTTATTTGTTGCCTACTTGATTTTTCTTATGACCTTTTATACATATGTAATGATCATTTGTGAATTGAGATGTTTAAAACATTTAATATTATTATTTTTGGGGTATCTATATAGTTTTATCATCTGGTTGGTTTCTATAAATATATAATTATAAATTAAAAAGAAAAGATAAATATACATAAATATCAATAAAATAAAATAAATACAAAAAATACAGAAATAAATAAAGATCCAACCAGATGGAAGCCCTCGGCAGAGAAGACAGAACGGCCGAGGGTTAGGAGGAAAGGGAAAGAAACCGACGGACGATGCGGGCGGTATCGAGGACCACTGCCTTCTGCATTTGAGCCCGGAGCGGTCCGTCACGGAGTCCCAGTCGCCTCAGATGACCCGAGAGGCTGACTGGGATTAGCCCATTCGCAGAGACGACTACAGGAATAATTTCGGTCGGCCGACCACCCCACATGTCGGTCACCTCATGAGCCAGGTCCAGGTATTATGTTCGCTTATCTGTTTCGGCTTTCACGAGGTTCTCGTCATACGGAATGGTAATGTCGACCAAAAATATCCTTGACTGTGCCCGGTCCGTCAGCACAATATCAGGCTTATTCGCAAGAATAGTCCTGTCTGTGATGATGGCCCGGTCCCAGTAGAGCCGGGCGCAGTCATTTTCGAGCACGGCTTCCAGTAAGTACTTGTAATACGGCACTTTCCGGTCCACGAGACCGTATTTCAGAGCGAGCTCCTGGTGTAGAATTCTGGCTACTAGGTTGTGCCTGTGCTCAGTACTCAGAGTTAGAAAGCGCCGAACAACCGGAGATGACATGCCTAAGTGACTCACCGGGATGGCGACAAGCTTGACAGACGTCGACGGTGCCATCCTTTAGGATGTATCTTCGATAGTTGTTGGTCTTAATAACCTGATCCTGTATTGCACAGACAAAACCCTCGGTTTCCCCAAAGAGGTCACCGAAACGTAGCCAGTTGAGGGAGGCGACTGTATCTACTACGAAGGGCTCATGTAGAGCCTTGTAGTACCTCCCGTGTAGCTCCTTCTCCTTCCATACGGTCTCCCGGTCGGAAATGCTAAGCACTGCTGGGTCCTGCCATTGCTCGTTTGCTAAGGATATAGGGGTAAGCCCTTTATATATATAATACGTCATTATAGAATGGGTCATCCGATCTCGCCAAGAAGTATTGACGGAGACTGCACACTTCGCGATTATGCATGGTGAGCGCGCTCAGAAAGCCACGCCTACCATGCTTTCGCGGCAAGTACAGCCTTATTACCGACGATCTCGGATGATGCATCCTATGGGACGTCATGGTAGTGCGGTCTTTTATATCCAGGGCGTTAAGTTCAGTCTGAGTCCACCTGAGTATGCCAAAGGTGGACTCAGACTGAACATGAGGACAGGCATGACCCAGCCGTTATATGCGTGTGACTTATTCACACCGGACAAAAGGCTGTTAAGCACTTTGGTCAAGCGTGCATAAAACACGTCGCAAACTGACTGTTTCATACCAGGCTCATTGATACCGATGTTCTGTGATATACCCAGGTATCGGTATGTTTCATCCTCGGAAAGGGTCCTTAAGTTGACGGGCATAGACAAGTCTATGCCCGCAGAGTTAGCAACCCTTCCCCTTTCAACACGGAGGACCGCTCACTTATCCGTCCCCAGCTGCATTCCTATGGAATTGCTAAATTTACAAGTGATGTTTAGTAATTCCATAAGATGGGAGCGACTGGAGGCGAATAACTTGAGGTCATCCATATAGAAAAAGGTGGGTCACTTTTGTCCCTCCTTTCCGTAGCTAAAATCCTCTCCCGCAGCCCTCCAGTAAGGTATTGAGAGGGTTCAGAGAGAGGCAGAACCAGATTGGACTCTCGCCCTGGAAGATACCCCTTCTTATCCTTATGTGGTTCTCCGCAGCCATCATCCGCTCGCCCAGATGACAAAGGATCGTACTCCACTGCCCCATACACTGCTCAAGAAAGTCTCTAACTGTACAGTCAATCTTGTACATCTCGAGGACCCTCTTTAGCCATGTATGGGGCACCGAGTCGAACGCCTTTCTGTAGTCTATCCAGGCGGCAGAGAAGTTCCGACGGTTGCGTTTCACCACTTTGCCTATGACCGCCTCAATGAGGAGTGGTTCCTTGGTTCCACGACCACCGCCCCGACATCCATTTTGAGTGCGTGACTTCACATGGTTCAGCTCCAGGTGACGAGTGATTCTCGCACTCAAAGTGGATGTCAGTGTATATATGGTGGGTAAACCTGATGGGGCGGTATTTGCTCGCGTCTGTGGTATCCTGATCTTTAGGAACCAAGTGATTGATCCCAGTAGTGAAGAGGCTCGGGAGCGACTTCTGGTCGAGAGCCTCTTGAAACTGTCGGGCGAGCACAGCGTGACACACTAAGAACCCCTTCAGCCAGTAATGATGCAGCCCGTCGAGCCCCGGACTTTTCCAGTTCGGGGCCCTACGGACCGTCTCAGCTACGTCTTCCGGCGTTATGGTGATGGGGTCCATAGCGTAGGGTGCGTAACTCTCGCACCCTGGCTTGCACAACTTCCATCAAAAGGCCCTCGCTGTGTTTTACGGGCTCTGAGCACAGGCCACGCCAAAATGCGATAATGTCAGCCTGATTCGGTCCTTGGCCCGCTTCTCATACCTTTGGTCGCTCCAATGATTTATAGAGCCTCTTCTGATCACTCTGGAAGAGACAATTCTGGTTGAACCGCCTTGACCTCTCGGTAAATCGTCGAATCCGCTTCCTCCAAGCAGCGATCTTTTGCTTCAGGTCGTCTATGCGCTCCGTTAGTTTCTGCGTGGTATCCGGCTGGGATAAACTGATATTTGTCCCAGCAAACGCCATCCTAACGGTTCGCACAATCCTCGGTCTAATATTACCCGACCTGAAGCTTGTCAGTCTGCCGATAAGGGCCCTTGCCTTTGCGATACGGTCCTCGATTCTTTTTCTCCAGGCTGGGATGGCGCTACTTTGTGTAGTAGCGCGTCCAGCTATGGGAAGTTTGGCGCCAATAATACGGCAAACTGCCACTGCGGCGCCAAAAAGAATTGAGTCCGTCTTGCAAAGGTCCCGGCTGGCTTCCAAATATGTCACCAGCCTTGGGTTAAGAGCCCTCACGACAGCTCGATTTCGCTTGCTTATGGGTATGCGGGGAAGTCGCGGTCGATTTTCGAGAGGGGTGCTGCGTGTTTCCAAAATCGCCTCTTTCAATAAACTCCTCATTTGCTCTAATTCGTGGGAGACTATTTCATCTTCGTTCGAATCAACCGCAACTGGAAGATCCATGGCGGCTTCCACGTGTGGATGCTGGTCTGTCGCGTGTGGAGCTGCATCTCCAGCCATAGCCGATTCATTCGACGATGGAATAGCCTCACGTCGTAGTCGTTCGATTTCGGCATCATCAAATATTTTCGAGCGCATGATCTACCGAACTCGGGCTGCCAGGTTTTGTTCCGTGACGGGGATAGAAGGCTCCAGCTCAGCAAAAAAGCAATGCACACACAGTTTCTTCCCCTTTCGCCCTATAGTACGCCCGTAATGCGTTTTCGTTAATAGGTTTTGTTAAACGCATGCGACGTGCTCCACCAGCGGCGGGTGCCGCTTGCTGAGTCCGAGAAGACCCAGCCAACACCAAGCCTTCTGGTTGGGATGACGGATTCGAGGGGCTGCTAGGTGATCGTGCAGCTCCTCGCGCTCGGTTGGTGGCCCGCATGCTGCCGCATCCAGCGCCAGCTCCAGACGCGCCCCGACGACCCCCAGGCAGCGTCCCTATGCGCGTTCCTTTCTGTGCCATCATCCATTTCATAGGCGCTAAATAACGGGAGATGCCCAAGCCCGGCACCGTGGATGGGTCATATGCACAAACGGACCTTTGCACCCACAATTTTGCCTAGGCACGGCGCTCACACCTCATGGCAGGGTGCTGACTGACTGCGCCGACGTAGCAGTTTTGTCACATAACTGTTACGTCAGCGGGCGATGGGGTCTTCACTTCCCTACGCCTTATATTATTATTATTTTGTATATCTATATTCTCCCTATTAAAGAGGTAACTTAAAACCTAATTACACGGGCCGAAGCCAAGCGTGAGCACGTGCTAGGTGATGGAATAAGCAGAGGTGACGGATGACGTGGTGAGGAATTTGCGTGTGAGTCGGCAGGTGTTGAGAATGACAGCTTTCTGCAGGGTGTGAAGTGTGTGTTTGGGTACTTGCAAAATATCTAGACTGCGTTGTAGGCTTTTAGGTATGACTCCGGTAGATAACTATTGGGACTATATGGATGGTTTCTGCTCTCCATTGACGCTTGAGTTCTATAGCTAAATCTTGATATTTTGTAAGTTTTTCAGCTATGGTGGATTGAATGTTATGGGTGTTTGATACGGCAATGTCAATAAGGTAAGTAGTTTTGTTATTTTTGTCATACACTGTGATATCGGGCCTATTTAAGTGAATAATTTTATCCGTGATAATGGTCCTGTACCAGTAGATTCTATGATTATTGTTTTCTAATATGATTTCCGGCTTATATTTGTAATATAGTGTCATTTTTTGTATGAATTTAAATTTAAGGGCAAGATCATGCCGATGCTTATAGTCAGTTTGTGCAAGGGCTCTACAGGCGGATGTTATGTGTTGTATGGTTTCGGGGCCAAAGTGGCAATGTCTGCAAGTATCAGTGGTAGGTTACGTGTACGTATTATGTGTCTCTGGAAGTTTCGGGTATCGATGATCTGCTGAGGATCGCTAGCATGAATGCCTCCGTTTCTGGGAAAAGTTCACCGCGCCTCAGCCAGGCGTTCGACGCTTTTTTGTCGACATGTGACAGCTGCAGGTCGTGGTAGTGCCTTCCGTGTAGGGACTTCTGTTGCCATAAGGCCATCTTCTCTTTTACGTCAGTGATCAGTTCACTGCGTTGTGTATTTCGGTCCGCGAGGTTAAGTGATGTGAGGCGTTTGTAAGATAAGGTTACTATTTCGTGGAGAAGTGAGTGTTCTGAGCGTTGATGGAAATATTGTTGAAGGGATTTGATTTGTTTATTGTGCAAGTTAAGGACATCTATTATACCTCGTCCTCCCTCGGATCTTGAAAGAGTCACCCTTTGCACGCAGGATCTAGGGTGGTGCTTGCGGTGAGTCGTCAGAGTGGTATTTATAATACGTTGCAGATTGATAAGGTCACCTTGAGTCCAGTTTATTATACCAAACGAGTATGTCAGTATGGGGATAGCGTAACTATTGATTGCTTTTGACATGTTGCGGGAGTTGAGTTGAGACCGGAATATACTATTGAGCCGATGTTTAAATTTTTTTTTGAGACCTTCTTTCGTTTCCTTTTGATGGATCTGTCGCGCTTGTTGGAAACCTAAGTATTTATATGAAGCGTGGGGTTCTAGAGGTAAAATCGTGTCTCCTGTTACTAGGCTATAGCTGTTGGGGTTAATTTTTCCATTTTTAACCGAGAAAGTTTTGCACTTGTCAATCCCAAACTCCATATGAATGTCGTTTGAGAAAGATTGGGTGATGTCTGCGAGGCGATGCAATGACTGTGTAGTGTTGACTGTGTACTGTATAGTTTTATGTCATCCATGTACATCAGGTGTGTTAGAGTGGTGTGTTTGTGTGGTGTGATGATAGAGTAACCATAATTGGTTTTGTTCAGCATTTGCGAAAGAGGGTTTAATGCGAGATAGAACCATACAGGGCTAAGCGCATCCTCTTGGAAGATTCCTCGACGTATTGGAATTTCTGATGTTTCTATACAAGAAGTTCCTATTGTTTTTAATGTAGTTGTCCAGTACTGCATTGACTTTTCAAGAAAATGTATAAGTTGTGGGTGAATTTTATAGTGTTGAAGTACATGTAGGAGCCAGCTGTGCGGTACGGAGTCGAATGCTTTTCGGTAGACAATATACATTGTATTGATTTTCTTCCTTTTAGAAATAGCATGTTTCATTGCTACGGAGTCTATTATGAGTTGCTCTTTACACCCCTGACTACTTTTTCGACATCCTTTTTGTTTTTCAGTAAGGATGTTGTTTGTGGCTATATGTTGATGTAAGAGTTCGGCTATACATGCTGTAAGTAGTTTATAAATAGTTTGTAGACATGTGATAGGTCTGAATTTGGTAGGATTTTGATGATCTGCGTCTTTCGGAATCATGTATGTGAGGCCTTGTGTAATGTATCGGGGCATTATGTTTGGCTTTTGTATAAAGTCATTGATATGGTTATGAAGTAGAGGGTGAATTGTTGAAAGTTTCTTATACCAGTAGTTACGTATACGGTCACTTCCGGGTGCTTTTCAGTTATGGGTTTTTTAATATATGCACAAATACTTCCAGAGGTATTTGTTCAAATGTCATTGGTGTGATAAAATCAGTTACATCGGAATCTGATTTCAGCCATTCTGCCTCAGTGTTGTGGTGAATCGGTATAGACCAAACACCAGACCAGAAGCCATGTAATTCATTGGCGGGTGGTAATGGTGCATCTTGCCTATTTCTATGTCTGTCGTGTTGCGTGTCTGAAGTCAGGCTCCTATAAAATTGTTTTTCATTATTGATAAACTGGCTATTTTGTGACTTCCTAAGTGTGCAATTAAGGTATCTTTTTAATCTGCTAGATGCCGCATTCAGTTTTTGTTTAAGTGTGTCAAGGAATTGTTCATCGCTTAAATTGGGTTCTTCGTGCTGGGAATGTTTTCGGTATTTATTTCTTATTGCTTCCACTGAAGTGGTGAGTCTATTGCTTCTATTGCCATTGGTATATTCTGTTAGCCTTCCAATGTCTCTTCTGAAATCCAATATCTTTTTTTTGCAACCTTTTCTGCCAGGCAGGTTCTTTATTTCGACTTTGGGTAGGTGTTATGTTTGTGTTATATACTACTTTCACAAACTTCATTATCATTAACATGAGCTCTGAAATAGTAAGTAGTAATTTATAACGATTCCATCGTTTTAGGTAAGCGGAACATTAATGACATTAACAAATCTCAAGCGCTTGACACTGCTCTATAGCAAATTTTGTGTGACATGATATGATTAAAGCTTAAATTTTAGACATTGTAAAGAATGAGCTTCAACTCAAATTTGTGCCATAATACCAGCCATTAGTATTTTACAACTGACATTCATTCATCGTTAACTTATTACAGCCTATTAAAAGTCCACTGCTGAATATACACCTCTCCTTTAGATTGGCCTTATAATTTGACTTAGATTTGGTATGTTTGCCACGCTGGCAGAACGGATTGGTAGCCTCAGTGTTTTATTATTTTTAGCTGCCATCAGTAATATGCTGCCCATTATTTTCAATTTACTGCGGTCGCGTCTTGCGAGACCCATAATTGATATGGGGTAGTGGATTCTCTAACGCCGCCACTACATGGCGAACATCTCACATATATACGATCACCGTCATCTTAATGCAATTCATTATCATTTTCTTAAAAATAAGAAAAATAACGAAATATTGGAAAACAACTTCTTATTCAGATATTTTAATAAATTTGTGTGGCTCTATCAATTTAAAAAGTATGCGACAAACTAGTTCTTGAAATTAATTTTCTTAAATGGAATCTTTGTAAGTGTCAAAAAGCTTTATGCTAGCTACGTTCATTTCCTTTAGTTCATTAATCGAATGAAACTGTTCGTAAAAATTTTTCACTTGCAAATTAACTTTGTATATAATTAAATGAAAAGTACCATAATTAAAATTATGTTTTAAGTAAGATATTTATGAATATTCTCGTTTTTGTGGATTTAAATAATTACTTTACATTTTCAGTTAAATAAGTTAAAGTTGAAAGATATTTGATACGTGATTTTTTATCTCATAACATTTACAATAAATTTAATTGCTTTATTTTCTTAAATTTGCATTTACTTACTTTCATCTACATGTGATATTTTCTTATACTAAGTAAGTATAATAAAGATAAGAAGAAAATATCACATGTAGATGAAAGATACCTCTTAAAATATAATATATTATGAACCTTGAAATTTGATCACTCTAGAAGGTTTTCTTAACTAACGACTGACCTGATACCGTAAAAACTCACGGTAATTTACAAATGCGTTGTCACTTGACGTTGTTGACTACAATTTAAAGTTTCGTTTCCGGATAAAAAGATTAAAAACCAAAAACTGCATTTGTTGATGACACTGGTATTGTGTGCAAGCATGTTACTCCCTTAAACGGTCCGACTCATTTGTCAGCACAGCCATGATACACTGCAACATTATATACCATATAATCATATACCACGTATAAGACTCCTAAAATATTATGTTTTTAGGAAAAATCGCTTAAGTTGTGATACTTTGGCATTAATGGATTGAAAAGAAGAAAGTAGTTAATTATAAACGCCTAAGTAGCGGTTAGTAGTGACTGTGACAGGAGCCCGTGTGGACAGGTGCCACCCTCATACCTATTTCTGCCGCCAAATAGCAGTGCTATAATGACTGGATATGAGGCGTTATGTTGATACTGAATACGGATATTTAAACTTAGTCCTCAGAGGTGAAACGTATCCGTAGCTTCCTTTGTTTGAAGTTGGTTGCAAGTATCCATGTGCTCCAATAGTCACTTACCATCGGGTGGACTGTAAGTTTGTATGAAATTTCAGTTTTCATTTTAAAAAGATGCTTAGGTATAATGTAAATAAAATATTTAATCTAAATAAGTTATATAAAATACCTTATATTATAAAATACCTTAATAAAATCTTCTTCATCAATCCCGTCATAAAAGTTTTATGAAAAAAACACACTATTTTTGACTTCTTTTTATAGGAGAAGGGGAAAACGAGCATACGGTTCTCCTGATGTTAAGTGACTACCGCCCCCATGAACAACTGCAACACCAGGAGAGTTGCAGGTGCGTTGCCGGCCTTTTATAAAGGAGTAAGCTGTTTTATTTTAGGTCCCTAGGTCGTATCGGTACGGAAAAATCGCCGGTGGTATACTATTCCACAGAGAGGTTGTACGCGGAATAAAACTTCTAGTAAAAAGTAATGGTTAGCAAAACACTACAGAGTAGCGATAAGCAATATAGAATACTTACTTTATCACAAAAACAATTTTTAAGCTATTATTTGCCTATATGTAACAATCTACGTTGGAACACTAGGAAAGGTGGCGCACGCACTAGGTGGCGACAACTTGGCCGTCGACGGATTGTTTCTCCTGTTTTGTCACTTGAATAATGGTTTGAAGTAGATTTTGATTCGTAAAAGTGATGTGATTTTGTGAATTAAGTGTTTGCGCGTGTGGAATATTAGAGAAAACGACGAAACAAGTGCTTTGATGTCGATATAAACTTTAAGTTATTTTGATCGCTTGGGCACCTTATGAACTTGAGTGGCTGTCGTCATCAACTGTCCGCTGGGTTGAGCTGTTGTGATTGGATTTTATGGGTTTTAATTTTTTTGCGCGGAACTCTCTTGTTCCAGAATAAAAGTAGCATCAACAGACAAATATTTAAGAAATTGTTTTTTTTTCTTGTTATAAGTATCGTATATGCTTTCATAATATGCATTAAGTAAAAAGCTGTTTTTTGACATTATATATAATTATACAAGAATATATGACATTAATGAATTTTGGTCAACTTCTAACGATGGAATAACTATTTCGTACACTAAGCTTAAATACATTGTGAGGTGATTGATACTCGCATCGTCAATCAAGTGCAAAGAAGTGCAGAAAGCAGGCAACATAATATTATGTTAGAATTATTGTACGAGTAAACAACTCAGCTTATATAGAACTATTATTGTACCATTATCGTAACAAGCTATCAAAAGTCCTCGGTTGTACGTAGGCCTCTCCTATAAATTGCTTCATTGGGGGGACATTTGCCATAACTGCCACGCTTGGCTGGCGGGTTGGCAACCGAAGTTTTATTTTACTTTTTAGTTCTTAATAGAAAAACGCTACTGGTTATATCCTGGTTTATTTCCCTCTGTCAGCTCTTACGACACACGTAGGACGATATGTGTAGTAGATATTCTTATAACACCTTTATACGGTCGTTGTACATCATTATTGTAACTCTACGACCACTTTTACCTTATTTAAATTTCCTTTTCCTTTTTCACGATGAAATGCCTTCGCATACCAGTTAGATTAAAGACGGTTTATGTCGTATTCGCTTAGAAAGACTAAGTATAAAATTGAAGTAAACAATAACGAATCAACCATATAATATCGATGTAAGAACATCCACTATCCCATAGTGTCCCGTGGGGGTCATAGGAGATGACGGAGGAAAACTGAAAATGGATATGGAGCAGTATCTTCCTGATACCTACTCAAAGTTATTAAAACACACTTAAAACAAAGCATTGAAACCTTCAGCAGTGGACTGTTATAGGCTGCAATGGAATGGAAAACGAATACTTTTATTGACAATTTCCAATGGTGCTTTTAGTACATTTAAATTATAGCGACGACATTCCCATTAACATCTCACCTTAGTTATACCGTTACCGTTACAGCCTGTTACAGTCCACTGCTGAACACAGGCGCACCCCTTAGATTGCCTCTCAGGCATATTTGCCATAGTTGCCCCGCTTAAAATCAGGTTGGCAATCGCAGCTTTTTTATTTGTAGTCCTTATTAAGAAAACGCTGCTGCCCTGATATACTGATTTGTTTCCCTCAGTCGTCTGATGCGACTAGAGTTGTAACTTTTTATATTACCTTAAGCAAAATAATAGCGACAAAAAATAAAACTAATAAATACACAACGTCTGTTTTATTGTTGTCCATAATTATTTACAATAAAGTCTTTATTGGATCGTATCCATAAACGGCAATATGTACAGCAGATGCATCATAATTTCATTTTACACAAAAGAAAATTTACAGCTTACTTTATACAAATTTATTACAAATATTCACATGAGCCCTTATTCATAAATATAATATCATTTGTTACATTTGTTACTCTGTTGTTATGCTCAAAGCGTTATTTTATAACAATTAAACAAATGTTGATAGAGCGCGTGATGCGAAAAGCTGTATTACAATTTTTTCACCAAGGAGTGGATTCCTAATTTAGATATAGGTACGATTACATAATATTGTCAATCAGTTCATATAGAACTGTTATGAGTTAATTAATGAAAAGAAAATGCGTTACCCTGCCAATATAGGGATTATCCCTTCTTCAAATGACGAAAGATATTCTTACGACTTTGTACAGATTATACGTATATTGTTTATAATTTTTTCATATAAACGTACATAATGTAACGTAGACAGCACATAGTTTTGTTTTATAAATATTTAATTTAATTAAAATAATTTATGAATTAGTCACAAAAATATAATTCAAAAATCAATTTCGATTTGGTGGTATATAATAATTTTATAAATACAATTTAGCAACAAAAGTGACATTTATTGCTAAAAACCTCAAAGATATAACCTAATTAAAATATTTTATTCATCACCTAATTCGAACATTTTGTGTCTATTAAATAATCAACGTTAGGCCAAAATTTGCAATTTTTTTTCTACTTTACCAACATAACATCATAGGAAAAATAGAAGACGATACTTACAATTTTATCTATATGTAATTGAATTTCAAGTTAGGAAAATATTCTGAAATATGAAATTTCATATCATAGAGATGTACATTCAAATAACTATAATATTTGTAAAACGCGAAAACTTTTTACGTTATTTTATAATATACAAATGTTATACTTATAATACGTAAGTGTTATTTCACTAAAGTTCTCTGCAATTGTTTTCAATTTTAAGATACGACTTTGGCCAATATGACTAGACGTTTAGCTGGAACACTTGGAATGTCACCCGGTGCGTAGATATTCAGCGTGATGCCTGTAACGAAATATGTTTTATTTTTCTTTCGTGACATTTTTACATTCACATTTGGAATATTCACAGAATACCAGCGTGAAAGAGCTGCTGTGTTTCGAATGGGGAGTGTAGATAATCGCAGGCCCTTTTTACTACATACAGAGCATTCAGTACTTTGTCTTTTGTTTTTCTTCAGTATTTCTTCCATACCTTTGGATGGAGGAGATCGCAAAAGCAAAAAAATGATTTAATACGGTATAATAACGTTTCTTGCCTTAAACAACTTTCTATAATGTTCTCACTTGACTGCCAGTAACGACTGAGCTAAAGCTGGTAGCAAAACCAATGCTGTAACTGTGCACGTGCTTGTTCCTGAAAATAAAACAAATTATATAAGAAAACAATTTAACATCAACATAGAATAATCATAAGTCCTGGTTTAACTCGTTAGTTTACAAATTTTTCTAAGCAAGAGTAACCTACAAAATTACTACAAAGGTTACAATATTTACGTTATTTCTTACGTGGTAGAGCCACGCTTCAGTTTTATTACAGTTGTAGCACGAATTGGTTCGTTCTAGGAAGAACCACGCGATATACCGGTGTAAAATAGCAGAACAATGCTGCTATGTTCCTCAGGATCAGTTTAGAGAACAAGAGACCATTTTTACTGGAAAAGAGGCCATATTTTGTTGTAGTCTTCTCTTGGTAACAACGCAATCAATCTTAATATAAGCAAATGAATCTTAATCGATGTATCAGGAGAATCAGGAGGACTTCGTGTTTATTTCAACCATTATTCCATAACAAATGTTGGCAGATCTCAATATTATTAATACCTACTTCAGAAAATGATTAATATACCTACTTCTTCTCAATAGGTTATAGACTTAGATAATAAAAAATAAACAAATGAATGTACAGATGAAAATATAAAAAAGTAAGAGCGAACACGTTTATAGATAATTTTGTATATCTGGGCCTGTGTCTTTCTAATTTCTGACTATGTTAATTCTAGGTGGTATAATTGCTTTCCTTCCTAAGATTCCTCCCTTTCTGCCGTTAAACAGCATTAATTACGTAATAACGTGCAGGATGTAGCCGGTATACACGCTATTGGGCATTCTGTCTTATTAGCGAGTAACCGTATCTTTAGACTGTTTTCTTTAAAGTTCGTTGCATGTGTCCATTGATAGTAATAGCCATTTACCATCAGATGGATTGTAAAACCATTTGTTACTTCAATTTTATAATAGAAAGCAAAATTTTATTAAATTATACAAAACTCATTGCTCTGCTCTGGTGTGAATGTTCTTGGTTCAAAACAAATACGGTTTCAGACTGCAAGACATTTTATCTTAGCCTTCTAGGGTAACAAATCATCTGTGGTGTTTTTTGCTTAAGTGCTGAGTAATTGGAGGTGTCAATGGGATGGCAAAGCCAATTAAAATAAAATAGACTGTTCACTCATGTGTTGTTCCAATACAACTAAAAATGTTTTTAAAACTATAGAGAATAATAGTAAAATATTTCATTCATCATGTACTATCAAAATCCACTGTTGAATAAAGTCCTCCCCCTAAAGTGGATATTGATCATAGTCAACACACTTTGCAGGCGGGTTATCGGCCGCAGATTTTACTGTTTAGTCTTTATCGCGAATCTAATTTACGGGGATGTCGCCTGTTTTACTTCCCTTTGACACCTGTAACGACATCCTGGAGACAATATGGGCTAGTGGATTCACATGCGCCTGCACTGATGTAAATAATTTATATATTAAATGTGTGAAAGGTGTAGTGGGCTAGTTAGTTACTAACAATATGAAGTGATATAAAATGTGAAGTGAAATAAAAACAATTTAAAAATCAATCTATTAATAGACATTGCAAGCGTTTCTTTTTTCAGATAATAAAAGGTTGCTAAACACTCGGCACAACGACCAGTACCGCCTTTGACATCAAAAGACATAGATGCGTTAGTACTAGATGAAAATAAAGGAAAGATAAGTGAAAAAAAACGGATAGTAAAGTGACCTGCAACGTTTATAAAGTCCCTTTTGTATTTATAAATTGAAGTTGAAAATTTGAGTCTACCACACTAACACTAAAATTCTTACTTTCGATACTTTTTTGAGTAACTTGCAGGAATGTTAGCAATATTATTGTTATATGTGAAAGTATCAATCAAGACAATCATTTGAAAAAAAATGAAAGATAACTACTACAAAAAAGATATGAATTTAGAAGCCCCGTCGGAAGAAAACACTAAAAAATATAAAAAAAAGTTGTAACTCGAAAATATAAATTGTAATACAAAAATTCGGATAACATACATAATTACATTTTTTATTTTGGACTGTTTGGACCTTTCTGTATAACCCGCCGAGCCAGTAATATTGTGTGACCTGCCGTAAGCACCAACTATGGTAAAAATAACATAAAATTTGGCGAGCACAGTTATGGAATCAACTTGCTAAACATGTGAAAGAAGCGACTTTTAAAAAAATTTTTTTTTAATAATATTATTTCAATATATTTATGATGATATATATATATATATATATATATATATATATATATATATATATATATATATATATCATCATCATTACAGCCCTTCACAAGTCCACTGCTGAACATAGGCCTCCCCCAAGTAATGCCACAAAGCACGGTCCTGAGCCACCGGCATCCATCGACTTCCTGCATGTCTTACCAGGTCGTCACTCCATCTAGTGGGGTGTCGCCCTACACTATATATATATATATATATATATATATATATATATATATATATTATAATTTTAATACAGATATTATTGTTATCATGTATGTGACAATTGTTTAAATTAAAAATAAAGTTCTTTAAAGTGAAGTAGGCCAGTTGGTGACCATGAGCTGTAGTACCAGTAACCATCATGTGGACTGTAAGTCCAAACCACATAAGTTTTGGCAGGGTTAGGTTTCACTGAAGAGCGTTTGGCGCGGCGGAATGTTCATCATGAAAGGTTTTGCTCACGCACGCACACACACGCGCACGCTCTTATATTAAAGGCCTTAGTTTATGCTTATCCATATATAATATTTCTCACCTTTAGAGCCAATAGCTGAGGCGAGTTGCATGACGGTCGCTGTCGGCATTTCAGGTGTTGTGCTGATGGGCCCTAATGAGAGAAACACATGTTTATAATATAAATATATTGTAAAGTATACTGTTGGTTTTCCTGTATTGGATTCCTTTTTCTGTAATTTTATAAAGGTTATTACTTATAATGGTTCATAACAAAGTTAACGTAGCTCTCGGACTAAGCGTTCACTGAAAATATCACGATTCGATCCTCGCCAGCACCAAAAAAATGTTAATTGCAATTATTTATTTTTTATTTTTTTATTATCATTTTTTTAAAAGATCTCTTTGCAACGTGCTTGGCGATGAAGGATAACATTATAAATAAATCTCCGTGTCTTAGAAAAACAATATATCAAAGAAATTATGTGTAAAGTCCTACAACGGGCGTCAAGCTGGACCATTGCTCCATAATCCTCTCAGAAGTATGAGCAATGAGACGTATAAAGTAATGGAAAGCATTCATTATCATTACTTTCGTTGTTCTTATAATTAACACGTTTCTTAAATTTCCAGTCTCATGAATCGTAAGAGGATGCTTACAAATGACTATTTTAATTTTTTGCGTCTAATAAAACGTTATCAGTATTATGAATCGTCTGAAATTAAGCATCAGCGCGAATTATTTCTCAGTTTGAATCACGCTTGACTTTCTTTTCATTAAGACTAGATGCGGACGCTTTGAAAAAGTGTTTGTGTTTTCCCTTACACACTAACTTTCTAATAGAGATTATTTTTCGTGAATAAAATGAAATTAACGGCGCATATAATTTCACGACAAATGCTTCCAGAAATGTTTTATCTCGCCTGCAATTTAGATATCTGTGTACACGATACTTCCATTGATAAAAAAAAGCTTAAATGGCCTTCGCAAATTATTCTGTGAAATTGTTATTTTCGAGTCTTCCGCAAAAAATGTATATTTTCCAGCCTTATTCTTTTCACGGCTGCCCTGTTTAAATGACGTTCGGATTATAGAGCGGTTAAATGGTTTGTTTTAAATAAATAAATAGCTTTCTGTTTATGACGTCGGATTTTATCCAGCCAGCCCTCTAACAAATTCCATGTCATATTAAAAAAAAAATTATCAAGGTCTCCGAGATTGTTTTCTTTATAAAGTCAAGTGTATTTGAAGTTTTAAAGAAACGAATAATTATATTTATTTACGTATTTAAAGAGAGTTTAATTTAAATTAAAAAGTAAAAAAAGTAATCAGTGTAGCAATTTTAGAGAAACAGTTAAAACCAAACATTTGCACGTAGGGTGGTTAAAAATTTAATAAATATCAATTTAAATGTTATTGAATTTCTTATATAAGTTTCGAATATATTTTATACGGCTGTAATTTTAAACGACTAATATATACAAAATATTTCCTGATATACAAAAAAAAACTTTTCATTTGCTAATTATTACAGTGAATATATACGAAAATAAACTACCTAATCAATGTAGCTATAAAAGCGACAATTTAAAAAAATAAATAAATAAATACATTCACTACAGAGTATTAATTTATTCCTCTCTATACATTGACGGCTCTATAACACGTGCTACTATAGTCTACAAATGTATTTTTTAAGGTTTAAAACCTCATTGACGCTACAAAAAATTACGTTAAAGTTGGTTTTAAAATAACATCAGAACTAAATATAGGGTAGAGTGTATCAGTTGCTTGAGCAACGATTTCAAAAATACGAGCTAACGATTTCAAAAATAAAGATTTGAAAGATTTTATATGATCATTTGGCAGACCTGCCTTAACTTTTGGAGAGGTAATTAGACACGAATAAACGTTTTGATTTCCAGAAAAAAAGATACTTCTTTAATTACTTATTGTAACTTTTCTTTATTTATTATACTGTATATTAGTTTTGTTTTGTATTCAACACACCAGATTTTCGAATATATTTTTTATTTAATATTTTGTCGGTTATCAAATTTAAATAACGGTTGATTACACGTTTTTCTATACGATTATATGAAGTATTTCACGCAACGGGGTACTAACTGAAACCACCATACCCAGCACCACCATTACCAGCACACAAGTCCCAACACCACTACACTAGGAACGACACGCTACCCTCGATAAAACGACACGTGTTTCGTCTCTACATTAGGCATCCTCAGGCGAAGTAAACTGCTATAGCTGACTGCTAAAAACTTCTTTACAATATGTTGATGTTGTGACACTGCGGAGTTTTTGGGAAGTTTTAACGAAAGTACGAAAGTACGTAGTTTTGACGGTAGTATATTAAGGCACCAACACACTTGTTTCAACAACGTTCTTTTCATTTGCCCGTAAGTTTACTGCTAGACATAGACATCTCCCGTTGTAAGAAGGATTTGCCTTAATACCTAATAAATTGTGTACGTGGTAGAGCCGTGCTGCAGCTATGTTAGTACTATAGTTATCAGTTTGACTGGGGAAGAACCACGCTCTCATAGAATAACAGGTAAAATAGTAGCTTAATCGTGCTGTGTTTCATGTGGTGAGTGTAGAGAACTGGAGACCCTATTTACTGGATAAAAGGTATTCCATCTTAGTCGTCACGGGTGAAAACGCATCTGCATTTTGATTCGTGATCGAGGATTGATGTAGATGTCTATGGGCCGCAGCAACCACTTACCATCAGGTGGACTGTATGCTTGTTTGTCACGCTTATCCTATATTTAAAAAAAAAACAAGATTTTTCCGGCATTTCCCACAGTCATTTCTTACAACGCTAACGGTACCGATATGAAGTCATGTCTTAAGGCGTAGACTTTCCGAAGAATTCGTATTTTCCTCATATAGATACCATCATAGGTATTTTATACATAAAATAACAACACTTTTACGAATAAAAATCTACTTCAAGCCTGTATATAAATGATAAGACAAGAGCAAAAGTCTGCTTGCGATTAAGCTCCCATCAAATCTCCTAACTATTTAATTATCTATTCTATGCTTTTCTATAGTAAGATTGTAGGAAAAAATATTAAAAGGAAATTCTTACCCGGATAGTAAATTGCTTCTTTCCTTACTGCGTATTTTGCTAAAGGTATTCGGAGAGTGCAAATAAACTCCGCAGGTGAAGGTAGGTCAGCGTCGAGCAACGTGACCGAAGCTACCGCGGAGTATCTGCCGTTCACTAGTTTCAATTCGTGAGAAACTCCATCCAGCCTCCTTTCAATAAAACATATGGATGTTTTTAATATGAATATAATATGTAGCATTATATAGAGTGTGACAGTGCGATGAATATTTTTACTCTCAGTATGAACTGCCTATTGGTAAAAAAAAATAAAAAAAAAAACTAACGAACTGAATTGATTTTACTGAAAACTTAATTATTTGATAGGATGAAAAAAAAACACACACACACACCCACACGATTTTCACAATAATATCTACCGAAATTTAATACTACAGAAATAAATTAAATTAGTCATTCATATTCCTCTGGGCTAAAGCTAGGCTAGAGCAGTGCAATGACATGAAACTGAATCTATTTTCCCACCTTTCCCGATAGTCATGCTTAACAGGCATTCAGGTAATTCTGGCACAGCGCCAGATTATTTTTGCTATATACATATGATATTAAATTAATGAATAAATGTTTGATCTTAAAATGCTTCTTTACAATGCAATAAAAATCGAAATCAACTTGGGTAGATTGTGACAATTTGACATTATATTACAATGCAACGTCGACGTGCTGTAGGATTTCTGCAGGCTCGTACTTTTCAACTGGCACTAGGCACCAGGCAAAATGTGATTTCAAGATTGTGATCACACTATCATGCCACGGCGGTGGTGGTGGAGAGACCCAGGACCAAGCCGCTACTACAGCCAGATAAGCCATTTTTTTGCAAATTGCTGCGAGAAAGCAACAATATATATGATAGGGTGAAGCAATTGTCCAAAGGCTGAACACCAGGTGCTTGTGAGTGATCAAATTGTGAGGAGGAGACTGCACGAAACTAACCTTCATGGTCGTAGATTACTTAGGGTTCCAGCTCTAAGTAGAGGAAATATTGGACGAAAACTGCAATGGGCTGAAGAACATCTGAACTTGGAATCCCATCATTGGTCGTTGGTGCTTTTCACCGATGAATCCCGGTTTGGTTTTCATCCTAATTGTACTCACACGTACTCTGAGGAAAGTTTCTGGTCGTACTGTCCGGCCTCAACACTCTCAAGAAGTTCATCCATACCAATGTGGTACAATTATATAGTGGTAAGAATTCGTTTTGGTGAAAGAACAGACTTCGTTTGGATACAGAACACTATGGTGGCTAAAAAATACTGTAATTAGGTGCTAGAACTAATAGTCTTGCCATATTGGACACGCTTGGGTCAAAATTCCCTCCTTATGCACGACAATGTCGGTTCAGTCTGGTTGTACAAACATGATGTGATGTCCCTAGAAATATTAATTATCTTATTCCCAGTATGCCCAACCGATGCAGATGCGGTATACTTTACTTCTGATTAGCTTATTAACATAGATGCGAGACGTGTGACTCTGAGGGTGGCAATTAAGCTAAATCTACAAATAGTCAACGGGAGAGGCCCATGACCAGCTGAAAACTTTTACGGGCCGATCATCACAGCCTGTCAAAGCTAAATCAATGAAGACCACTGCTGCACGTAGGAATCCCCAAAGAATGCCTGAGAATGCCTTTTTTCCGGTATTATTAACAAATTTCAACACTAATAACATCAACCAAAACATGAAACAAGTTATAGCATAGCAGTATTCTTTTTTTCAAATAACTTGTTATTAAAAAGGTGAAGGCTTTTTAATATTATTCTGAAAAGCATTGCCGAAAATGGGACTGTCCACTTTTAGCTCATATATGTGTGCTATAACTCGCACCTCCTTAGTTGCGAGTATTAAGTACTAACATAGATATTGGGCTTCTATTGTATCCACTTTGGATCTTTGTTTGACCAATAAAGATTTTTTATTATTTTTCTATTTTTATTTATTAACAGTTTTGTTTCCGAATTTATTATACTAGTTGAGGTACAAGATCGAGTAGAGGTCAGTTTCTACAGTCTGGCAGCGCGATCTCCTATTCGTATGACAAGTGCGGCATTTGTGCTAAATATTCCTTAAAGTAAAATAGACTATGTACAGCATAACCGGGCTGCTAGCGTTGTGTTATTTGAAAAAAAAAAATGTTATTTCGTATTTTTTCCGCTTGCATTTTGGACTTTGTAGCGGCGTTGTCGTCGCTCCACTAGCACACCGAAATACACCGAAGCCTAAATCGCGCTATTAACATTCCGAATCATAGACAGTATATATAGAACTTCTCCGAACTATCACTTGGAGTGTGAGCCGCTCCCCGGGCAGAACACTTTGCCCGGCGGGAGATCTCCCCTTTTCCTTCCACGGCCACAGACTTGAAACCTCATTTGCATCTGTGTAGTTGCTACTTACGTACTCAACGCAATAAAGTAAGTAATTTCAAGCAAGCATTCTTCATGTCTAGCGATGTAGGCCGATTGGTTAGCGATAAGGTGCAGTTGCCTTGTTATAGCCAAGTTTGTAGCCAATTGCTGTTTAGAGCACACGTCTTCGATTTTATACGACCTAGACACGTTAAAACTAATTAGTTGCATACGTTTACATTACAATTATAATTATTATTGTAATTTTGTTTCTATTTTGATAACAATACTTTTCGAACTGGCAAACCAAGCCACGATGGTGTTGTGATATTCAAACTACACTACAAAAGAATAAAACGTTAGTAACGTACCTCTCAGGTGTGGCTAGCGTGAGGTTTGGTGCAGGAAACGCTCCGTCCGCAGCACATATGACGTTCACAGTATCATCGTCAGTCTTGTTCTGAATCAGGCGGAAATTCGTCTCCGGAACTGAAACATGACACTTGTAAGAATATTTTGTAACATGGCACATGAAGTTTAATGAACTGCAAGAAACAGGCGCGTGCTAAGATGGCGAACTTCTCTCGCGTAATATTAAGTTTCTCGAATCTTTATTTCTTTATTTTATACTCGCCCTTTGATGAAAATTATTTTTGTAGTTTTTTATTATTATTATTCTAAGCCAGCGCTGAAATCCCACCTGATGGTAAGTGCTTATGTAGCCTAAGTATGTGAAGCGCTCTGACTTAACAAAAACCTATTCACTCTTACCTTGAACACAGCACACCACACTGTAATCGTATGGAAAGACAGATGCTGGCAACTTATTCCACTCCTTTGCTGTACGCATGACGAACGACGTAGCAAACCGTTTGGTTCGAATGCGTGGCAAGTCAACAACGAAAGGGTGGAGACTGGCCGAACGTCTGGTTTTCCGATGGTCGAAGGGAGAGGGAGGAATTACATTATGCATTGCCTGCGCACACTCTCCGAAATGCATCCTGTAGAAGACCGAAAAGCTGGCTACTTTGCGTCTGTGTTCGACGTTGGTAAGATTGGTTTTAACCAAATTTGGGTTACCAATAAGCACCTTAGCACGCCTTTCCATTGAGTCTAAAGTTGCTAGGAGGAATTTTGCAGCACCAGCCCATATATGGCAGCAATACTCCATGCACGATCGGACTTGTACTTTATAAAAAGTAAGCAACTGTCCCAGCGTGAAGTATCGCCACACCTTCGCAAGTACTCCTAGGTCCCATGCAGCTGCTTTGATCCTGGACTGAATGAACCCTCCGAATTTCAGATTTGAGGACATCTCAACCCCCAGCAACTGGAGGCGGTCGGTGTATTCCAGTGATATATTTCGGAAAGTAGGAGCCAAAGTGAGCTGGCTCCTTTTTGCAGTGAAGAGACACGCTTGTGTTTTTGCAGGCGTTGAATTTCACAAGATTAGCATCACCCATTCAGAGACTGCCTGTAGTGTGATATTCACACGACCCACCATAGCTTTTATTTCGGAGTTGATTTGATCCCGACTGGCCCGAGGACTTGGTTGGAATCTCTCAACAATTGTGCTGTCGTCTGCGTACCCATAAATACCGGGCCTAAGCAAATCATTACTATGCAGCGGGAAGAGAGTTGCGGAGAGAATGGGCCCCTGAGGAACACCGGCGTTAGTCCTCACAGGATCGGATGAGCAGCCATTGACGACGACAGTTTACAGTTACTGTATAATAAAAGTGTTATTATATTAGCTGACTGTTTAACATAACTGCTAGAGATTTTTCCTTTCAAAAATGCATCAGCTGGCGAAAATACATAATAAGTTTCAAATATTACAATTATTATTGAATATTCTTTTTAGAATAAGGGTGACAAGCGAGCACGCAGTCCAGCTGATGGTAAGTAGATGTTGTGGCCCCTACAACGATTCCTGAATAAGATTCAAAATGCAGATGCGTTATCACCCCCGAGGGCTAAGATGGAATGCCCCGTATCCAAAAAAAAAAGGCAGCAGCATTATGTTGCTATTTTACGCTGGTATTCCGTGAGAGCGTGGTTATTATATATCATGCCGATCCATTCAAGCTTCACGTATAATACAGATACGGTGTGGCTCCAGCACGTATAAATAAGACTAGTGTCTTGTAGTGCCGGCGTATTAAGGTAAACCATTATCCCATATAATCTCATGTGTGTTGTACAAGGCGGCAGATGGAAAAAATAGGAGATGAGCAATGGTATCTTATAAATGAGAAATGAAAATAATAAAAAACCGCGCTCCTGGGGGGCACGGGTTCGAAACCCTCACGGAATAAGTGTATGTGTTTCTTACAAATAACTGTTTTGGTTCTGGATATTTGTTTACCTTGTGTAATTTATGTATGAAATCTGCTTCCGTGAGACAGGAAAATCCTAGTACACGTTACGGGGTAACGTTTAAAAAAATCATAGTTTAACACTCTGTTGAACTAAAGCGTTACACTTAGATCAGCATAATAACAAATCGCACATTGATAGGAAGAGTGACACTAACCAAAAAAAAATGTTTTTTCGGTAGAAGCGTTTTAAGTTTTACCAAACCGTAATGACTAGTTTTGCACCAGAAAGAAAAAAAATATGATATGTTATGGTTTTTATTGTAGAGAGCATTAAACACGACTGGAATGTATTTTTTATTTTTATGAAAAGGTATTTTTAAATAAGATTTTCCCAAAAAACTTTTTAGTGACGTTATAACATTAATCAAAACGTTCAGTATTTCCTACCACGTGACAACTTACCGACACAATAACAATAGAAAAAATACATTACGTAAAGAAAAAACAATTTTATTTAGAAAATATAGTTTATTGCAAAGTTTGATACAAACTACTCAAACATTAAGTTGTTTGCGATGACAACAGCTAAATAAATCACATTTTTATTGATATTTTCAGACTCAAAACACTTAGGTGCTAAAAGCGATAATAATTATAAAAATTGTATATCCAAAATACTAGACATCCTAAAGATAAAAACTCAAATTAAGGCTCTTGTTTTGTTTATTAAGGCTTTTTTTTAATCAAATAGCTCTGACAATAACGTAGTATCAGATTTATTAACTTATTCTTAAAGGATTCTATCAAAATAAGAAGAAACGTAATAATTAGGAATGAGATTTTGAGCAATCAACGATTTGATGTCGTTTTTCTTTCTTTCAGCCAAAGGAAGCTTAGCTGCGTAAAGAGGTTTCAATAGATTGTTGGCATTAGGAACTTCGTACCTACTACCTGCCTGTTGCCTACGAGTAGCTACCCTATTAGCTACTAGTCTAATCTCTTTAAAGTTCTGTTATAAGTAAGATTTCTTATAAAATATTTTGACTGTAGCAGACTCATTTAAATCTTTCATCATTTTAATGATTTTAATATCACCTATCTTAACTTTTTCTCTTCCCGTATTCTTGGAAAAATATTCTCACATAAACATTTAATATCGTAAAAATCACTATGGCTCATCAGATTAACATTGTATGCATTTCCTTTTCTTCGTGCGTTCTTTATTGCTGTAATGTACTGGTCAGGAACATAAATAGGGCCAGATCTTAACATTTTTTTTAATTCTCTCTCAATTGTTGAATACACTGCATCACCCTCATTTTGTGTGTGACCTTTGATTAAGAACTTGTGGGTTATAGATTTTATTGGCAAAGTTTTTACCGCATACAAATAAAGAGATAACATGAATTGGTTTTTTTGTTGCCCACAACAATTATCAGAATAGAAAATAAAATCGAAATCTGGATGTAATAAGGACATTTTTTTCTAAATATTTAAACACACACGTCCCAATTTCATTAACACCTCTTTGACCTTCTACTTCTGTCCAAAAAAAAACATTCAGTGTGATCTTTTCCCAGTTCAGAAATAGTGAAATTTAAACAATTCAATTTACTTTTATAGTAAAAGATTGGTATTTCTCCTTTAGGCAAGGTCATAACTACCTTCAGGTCATAACAAGACACAATGCAATTACTCATTTTCTTATCATTTTCCTTCTCTATTCTACTTTCATCCTTTTCTTTTAAATGATCTTGATATTTAGCTTCCAAATTTTCTTATACATCGGCAATCCTGTAAGGTGTGCAAAGATCACACTGATCTTTTTTGGGTATAAAAAAACTGATGTTAAACTCAGTATCAAAAACTTTTCTATAAATATGTATTTTTACAAATTCGATATTTTTTTCAATGCAATCAGCTTTATAATCTTTGTATAAATCAGCAAGCGTCTTTCCTCCGTCAATAAATTCTCTCGAAGTTTGTTTTCGTAGATATTAACTTTCTATATGAGGTATACTATTGATGTGACGTCGCACTTCAATTAAATTATCTTCAGGAATGGTTTTTTTATTACTGTGTTTGCCCCTTTGTTCAGGGTCCACTATACCTTGCTCGTTCTTTTTATCTATCACTGTTTTAATAGGTCGATCACCAATTCCAAGAGTATTTTTAAAAAATATTTTACACATAATGATTTCTTTAATTTACGCGAACACTACACATTGAATAAAACTAAATTTACGGATTTTATCGCGTTTATTTCACTACTTTTACTTATTTTTAATTCCCGACGTTTCGGGTGCTTTACAGCACCCATGGTCACGTTTGACGTCCCGATGTCATAGTTAGTCCGTATACCTTCAGTTTTTGAACGTTAATTTTTGGTCCGATTTACGCAAAACGAGCTTATAGTATCATGAAGTCTTGCAGTGATATGCTTAGGTTTGGGTTTAATTTTGTTAATTATAGGATCCCAAGCAGGTGACAGCACCCATCCATCTTCTCTATTGAAATTTGGATGTTTTTTAATTTCAATAGCCTCGCGTATCATCCTTGGTAGGAATCGGTGTTCTTTTGCGAGAATTTGTGGTTTATCAAAACGAATGTAATGGTGGGGACGATCTTGAACATGATCGCGGACTGCAGACTTCCCGGAGCGTCGGTGCTTCACGTCAGCTATATGTTCTTTCACGCGGGTTTTTATGGATCTTTTTGTTTGACCTATGTAAGAGAGACCACATTCACAATCTAACTTGTACACTCCTGCATCTTGTAGAGGGATATTATACTTGACGGATGGTAAAAATTGACTAATCTTCTTCGGCGGCTTGTAGTATGTTTTAATAGAAGCTCGCTTCAAGATGTAGCCAACCTTGTCTGTGACTCCTCTGACATATGGTAGTACAGCAGGTACACGCTCGACTGTGGCCGGCTTCACTCGGTCACTGTGACGTAGGCGCGGGACCCGAAGCTTGTTGTCTTGCAATACTTGCTTGACGAGCTGAAGTTCGGCGGCCAGATGTTTTCTGTCACAGATCCCTCGTGCTCTCTGAAACAAAGATTTACCCACGGTAGCTAACTGTGAATGATGATGGTGAGATTCACCATTTAAATATCGGTTGGTATGGGTCTTTTTTCTATACACACTGTGACCAATTGTGTTATTAGGATTTCGAATGACTAAAACATATAAGAGAGCTAAAGAATT